CTGCTGGGCACACTGCGGTGACCATCTGGGACCACAGGTGTTCCAGCATTTGCCATATTGAAAGGCGAATGAAGGAGCTACATACAAACGGTGCCTGCACTGGTAAAGGACGAGTTTAGCTGCTGGGCACACTGCGGTGGCCATCTGGGACCCCAGGTGTTCCGGCATTTGCCATATTGAAGGGCGGATGAAGGAGTTACATACAAACAGTGCCTGTACTGGGAAAGGACGAGTTTAGCTGCTGGGCACACTGTGGTGGCCATCTGGGACCACAGGTGTTCCGGCATTTGCCATATTGAAAGGCGCATGAAGGAGTTACATACAAACGGTGCCTGTACTGGGAAAGGACGAGTTTAGCTACTGGGCACACTGCGGTGGCCATCTGGGACCACAGGTGTTCCGGCATTTGCCATATTGAAAGGCGCATGAAGGAGTTACATACAAACGGTGCCTGTACTGGGAAAGGATGAGTTTAGCTGCTGGGCACACTGCGGTAGCCATCTGGGACCCTAGGTGTTCCGTCTCAAGAATGAAAGTGTTGGTTCATTGATGTGGGTTGGGGTACACATAACAAACCCTAACATCTGCACCCCCTAAGACAAACTTCACTACAAGTTACAACATTTGACACACCCCCATAGCCTAAGTGAGGGTTGTCAAGCAAAACCAAAGTGTACAGTCACAAGAACAGTCACAAAGAAACAAAGCTCAGGGTGGATCACGTCACCACACACTGTGAGCACAAGCAACAGGGGCCACAAGGCCAGTTCGAGAGTTCACAAGTGTGTATAGCAAGAGTACAAGCAAAGCAAACAGTAGACTCAAGCCTATACACGACTAGAAACTGTGTCAACAAGGCCTAACTGCACACAACACCTCTGGTGGTCACAAGGCGGAAGCGCCTTGGTGAAGATGTCTGCAGTGTTGGCCTCGGACTCCACAAACTCGAAGCGAGCCTGTCCACGTCTCTGCAACTCTCGCAGAAGAAAGTACCTGACGTTAATGTGCTTCACTCTGCTCTCCAGTCGCGGCTCTCGGCAAAGGAGAATCGACGCCTTGTTGTCAGTGAACAAGGTCGGTGCAGAGCTCGGCCGCTCACCAAGGTCGGCGAGCAAAAATGTCAACCAACGCAGCTCCTGTGCCGCCATGGCACCAGCGTAGATCTCAGCCTCGGCTGTAGAGGTCGTGACTGAAGAGGAGCGCGTGGACCGCCAGGAAACAGCTCCAGAACCTAAGCTGAAACAGTACCCCTGAGTAGACCTGTGAGTCTCAGCGTCGTCAGCGTAAGAAGAGTCACAGTGACCAGTAAGTACGACAGGCTGCTGCCCACCAAGAACTAGCCCCACGCCTGATGTCGTCGCTAGGTACTTCGCCACCCTCACAGCTGCCGTCCAGTGAACAGGACGGTGCCTCCCTGGCGCAACAAAGCGAGCAAGGACGCTGAGAGGGAAGGCGAGGTCCGGGCGAGTACAAGTCATCAGGTACATGAGGCAGCCCACTAGCTCTGCGTAGGGACCACTGGACTTAAACGGCTCGTCAGGAAAGGGTCCAGTGAGTCTGTGGTCAACAGCAAGAGGTGTGCGTTGTACTGTGGAGTGCTGAAGCTCGAACCGCTGAAGGACCTGCTGCACCATGTGTGACTGTGAGAGTGTAATGGTGCGAGCAGCTCTGTCCCTGGTGATCTGCAGGCCAAGGTAGTGACACAGCTCACCAAGGTCAGTGCACGTGTGTCTCTTCTGCAGTTCGGACTTCACGTCTGCCAAGGCAACCCTGTCAGCAGTGGCGAAAACCAGGTCGTCGACGTAGACCAGAACAAAGAACGGTGTTGAGCCACGACGAACGAACATCGACAGGTCGGCAGAAGACGGCTGGAACCCAAGGTCAGAGAGGGTAGAACGAAGAGTGTTGTGCCACTTACGAGGAGCCTGACGAAGACCGTAGTCAGGTCGCCTCAGCCTCCACTGGGTCCCAGGAGGGAAAGTGCCAGTGAAGGCAGAGGGACGACGCAGCCAGACCTCCTCGTGTAAGCTACCCTGAAGGAAAGCAGTGGAGAAGTAGAGAGAGTGTAACTCGTAGTCTCTCTGTGCTGCTACGTGCAGTAACACCCGAAGAGTGGTCATCTTTGGGGTAGGCGCGAAGGTTTGAAAGAAGTCAACTCCCTCGCGCTGACTGAAACCTCTAGCCACGTAGCGCGCAGAGAATACCGGAGGAGATCTCGGTGGCCGTTTCACCCTGTAGATCCACATGCCATCAACTACGTTCGCCCCAAGGGGGGGAACCTCGTCGACGTAGGTGCCTGTGGATCTGTAGGAGGCCATCTCTGCGTCCATGGCAGCTCTCCACTGAGAGGCCCAAGGCCCTGACACTGCCTCAGCATAAGTGCGAGGAGTCAGTATGTCAAGGGCGTCGGGGTCTCCCTCAGGGGCGAGCAGCATGGCACAGAGATGTGGGGAAGCGGCTGCCAGGAACTCTAGCTCAAACTGCCTGTCCTCTAGGGCGTCACAGCCAAGGGCAGACTCACCCCCGACGGCTAGAGGACTGGTAGGAGGAGCGGCCACAAGACCGGTGGCGTAGTCAAGGCGGCGAGTGGAGGCAAACTCAGTGACTGCGGCAGTAAGAGCGGACACAGAAGACGGAGAGGCACGAGGGTCGGTAAGAAGAGAGGCGAGAACACGAGAGGGAACAGGTCGGTACGTGCGGTAGTAGTCAGTGATAGGAGTAGAGAGGGAAGCAGTGAGAGCCGACTCAGGAGGAGAAGGAAGTACAGAAGGAGACGAACGAGACGGACTAGAACAAAACAGGGCAGTACAAAGGTCAGTGAAAGGAACAGGGAACGAGGGACGAGTACGAGGAGAGCGACGCGAAGGCTAAGTGCGGGAAAGAGGAGGGGACAGCGGGGGCTCAGGAGGAGGGAAAACCGCTGGGGAGGGGTCAGGAGGAGGAAGTGGAGGACCAGAGACGGGAGGAGAGGGAGAGGGAAGACCGACGGACCGAAGACCAGAGACACGAGGAGGAGGTGGCGGTTGTTGCTGCTGCTGCGGCTGCGACTGCTGCTCCTCCAGCTGCGGCGGCTCCTGCTGCTGCTACTGCTTCTGCTGCGGCTGCTGCTGCTGCTGCTGCTGCTGCTGCTCCAGCCGCTGTAGCTCTAGCTGCCGCCGCTCCAACTCTCTCTCCTCTCGCTCCAACTCGAGCTGCTCCTCACGGGCACGGCGAGCACGGGCCTGGTGCCAGGTCGGGTAGGGGTGGGGGGGAGGAGTAGTGCCCGGAGCGGCGGTAGCCCCAGGACCGCTCTCCAAAGAACCAGGCGCACCACCCCCAGAGCCAGCACCAAAAGAAGTAACAGGGCCCGTCCTGGGCTCTCAAGGTCCAGTAGAGGGTGCACCCCGAGTCGTAGCACCCCCAGGGACAGCTTCACTAACACCAGCTCCCCGAATACTAGAGTCTCCTACAGACACGGGCTCAGCTCCAACTCCAGCACCCCAAGAACCAGGACCTCGCACAGGTACGCTCTCTGCTCCGACTCTAGCACCTCCAGAGCTAGCACCTCCAGGGTCCTCGCCACCAAAACCAGCTCCCACAGGGTCTCCTGTAGGCTGGGAGGAGGACTGTGGGGAAGGGGACGGCACCTGAGGGCCTATCGAGGGGGGAGGGGTAGCGTGTGACATACCTGACGGGGCTGGACCAGGGGGAGGGGGCTGTACCTGAGGGGCAGGAGGGGGGGCGGGAGTCAGGAAGAGAGGGTGAGGAGGTACCGAAAGACCTCGACAGGGGTACCGGATGTAGTAGGGGACTGACTCGACAAAACGAACGTCGCGGGAGTCAAAGAAACGGTGAAGGGGAGGGTGGTAAAAGGTGAAGTCAGAGGAGTCAACCGGGAAACCAAGGAAGACACAGGGAAGGGCGCAAGGGGAGAGCTTATCCGCGAAGGTGTCTCGAACAAGCACCAAGCAGCCCCAGACACGAAAACGCGACGCAACACCAGGGGACCCGGTCCAAAGACTGGTCGGTGAAGCCTCTGGCCGAGAGACACGTGGCCAGAGGTTCAGCTGGTGAGCGGCGTACCGAACCGTTGGGGCGCACGGGCGTGGATCATGGAGGTGCATGGAATCTCCATGACCAAGCCTATGCGGCGCTCAGCAACCCCATTCTGCTATGGGGACTCTGGAAGCCTTCAGGACTGGCGGATGCCCTGCTCGCGATAGAATCCAGCGAGAATGCCGGAGCGAAACTCACCCCCACGGTCGGAGTGAAGACAGCTGACACGACGACCACGAGTGTCCGCAGTGGTAAGCAACTACCGGATCAGCGTAGAAGTTACCTCAGACTTCTTCGCCAGGGGGAACACTGTGGTGTAACGAGAGTAGTCCTCAACGACCACCAGGAAGAAACTCTCTCACTCAGGGACAGGGCGAGGGGCGGGGCCCCAGACGTCCAAGTTGAGAGTCTCGAAGGGCTCGGTGGCCGGACGAAGGAGGAGGAGTGAGGGGTGGTGCGCAGCCGACCCTCGACGCAGGGACCGCAAGGTGGGGCAAGCGAAGGCGGCAGCGACGGCAAGACACGCAGGAGGCCTAATACAAGACCTAACTAGACATAGCGCGCAGGCAAGGAATGGACGGGTGCCCCATCCGGTGGTGCCACAAAACGGTGGGGTGGGCAAGTGACCAGTAGGAGCAAGACGCAGCAACTGGACCAGACACTGGAACCTGACCAGACACAGCTACCTGGGGAGATGCGGCAACCTGGTGAGACGAGGGAACCTGACGGGGGGCAGTGACAGGGGCCGGGGGCAGTAGCTTCTGTCGCTGCTGCTGCTGCTGCTGCTGCCGCCGCTGCTGCTGCTACTGCTGCCCATGGGGGCTAGTGTGAAGTGTGTAGAGACCAGAGCCCGGCTCAGCGGTAAAGGTGGCGAGAGGCGCGTACGTGTCTCCGTCGACACAAACCGTAGTCTCGCCAGAAGGCTCAATCCACACACCCACGTGCTGACCAATGAGCGACCTCAC